TACAATAATATCTGTACACAATTAAACAGGCACAGAAGGGATATCCTCTTTTATCTTTCCCTGGCTCATGTTACTTGGTGATCTATAAAAGTGCTGTAGTTGGCTAATAAGTAATGCACCGAAAATGAGCTGACTTGTCATTTAGACTTCTTAAATAATGATAGTTGGTGTCTCAGCACAACATCATGAAATTTCTCAAGAGAACACACATGTTAGTCCCTTGGGTCCGATTTCCGAACCTCGTCACCTCCCCCCAACTTTGATGATAAGCAACTTCGCTGTCGCCCGGCTCAGTACCACATCTATGCTATCGGAGCCTTATGTGGTTCGCTACTCCCCCCGGGTACATAGAAAGTGTCGATGATTTTTAACAAGGCTGAAACAGCTTTTGGAACTATTCAATCATGACTGGCACATCACACCTGCAAATGACGAGGACCAGTGGGTGCTAAATCCCAGCACAATGATGTTATGATTTTACCAGATACTCCTATTTCCACTCCGTGATCCACTCCCTCCTACTCATCCAACCCGTGCTGATTTAACCAACTTTGACATGTCCAAACAGTTGGCCTCATTTGGTCTCTCTCTCTGTGTATGTGTGTGTACGTTGGCGTACCACACGCTTTTATTCTGTCATATGGTGAAATTCATGCACTCGCAAAGCTAGGATGCTTTCAATCAGACAGATCCACCTACAATTTCCTATTGTACGCCAGTTTGTAAGATCGATCGATAATTGATCTCTCCACCATTGATCGATTTATATTTAACCAATTCCACGCCACCCGCTCCAATTCAGTTTTTAATCGCTGATATTTTGTTTTCACATAATTAATAGATATCGCTTATTTGCAACAACTCTTTCGGAAATATAAATCCCTGGTGGAGTTTTCAGAATGGTATCCAAATGAGAATTTTCAGAAAAAATCTTTGAGTTTTGCTATATCCTGCCGAAGGAAAGGCAAGTGATTGATCGATGACTGAACCATCACTAAAAAGCTGAGGAAATACAGAGCTGGGACCTGATAAACTAGCACAATTAATTTTGATATATGCTGAGGTCACGCTCATGGAGAGTAATGCGGAGTATATAAAAGTTGTCGTACCGAAGTAGACCCACAATGGAGAGAGAGGAAGAAGCATTGCACAGATCCATCACGTTGATAACAAATTNCCCTCAGTTCACCCAGTTCAACTAAGCGATCCGTTAGCTCTGCATTAGTATAGTTTGGTTGTCCGCTGTTTCGTACAGAAGATTTAGCCAAACAAATGACGGAAAGCCTTGAAAATTATTCGAAAAATGACCTTCGGGGATCGATGTAACTGCGAGCGTTGAACCGGAGGTTGTACTGATTTCCGGTCTGAGAAGATGTACATTGCCTAGTTGACCTAAGGTCAACAACATATTGATAAGTTGATCAAAAGTTCTGAAAAATAACTTCCATAAATGCTGAGAATAAAGTCATATTTTTTCGGATGGTATAACGGAACGAAACATAACAATGTGCAGTATCCAATGTGAAATAAGGAAAACCGACATGAGCCACCTAGATCAGTCAACTAGTTAAT